ATAGATTTTACCTTTTCTTTATTTAGTAAGCACTTTGATGTTCATATATACTTCTAAAATAATGTCATGCTTATTCATGTTTCATACATTTTCAGTAACTATTTTATGAGTTTATTGTATTTCAAAAAAACAATTATAGAACTGCTAAAGTATTTCTTGTTGAGTACTCTTTATTTCTTGAAATTAATTCTTCAGTCAATCATGAATTTTATTATAGAATTTAATTTTAGAAACTTTTTTATTCAATTTTTACTTAGTTGAGTGAGATCTCAATTCATTTTTAGAATTTGAGTTGCCATTTCTCATACACATGTGTGAGAGGGTGGAAATCCTTGCAAATCTTGCTCTTTTATCAATCAAACTAGAAAGATCTCTTGCTCTGAAGTCAACTTTTGTCAATGTTGATGAGCAATTGTTTGTTAAATGAAATCATTTTTTCTACTTTTCAATGTACTTCATGGGATGTTACATGCTTTAGCAGCAGCTCATTCTTTGAAAAACACCATTTTTTATATTCTCTATAGCAGCAGCTATAGCAGCTTCGTTATTAGGCTTCATTTTAATAATGTGGTTGAGAAAACGCGTGGTAAAGGTGGCGAGTTAGGTTTGAATAGGGTGGTGGAAAAAGGGTCTGGTCGAAATATAGACCGGCTAGCTTATCTAATCGAAGGACTGCCCACACCTAGTTTTACTAATAGCCATTCCTTAACTAATTTAAACTAACAAAAATAGTCTAGGACTTAGTCAGGTTCTGCTCTGCCTGTATTTCGAAGTAGTTCTTTTAATTTGTAAATTACATCTAAATGCAAAAAGTCTGGATACTTGCAAAGGCGTTTTGCAACAACGGGCTAAGTATCAAAACGAAAACAGAGAGCGAAAACACGATGCTTAGAAAAATATGTCTAGACATATATTCCCGAAAGAGAAAGCAGCCATAAGAGAAATTTGTAGACAACAATTGAACCTGGCAATGATCCACACAATCGTCAATTGCCAGCTGGTTAACCTAGCTATTAATAAATTCGAAAATATGTAGCCCCCTTGAACACCTGAACGCCTCGCTCCTCCGCTGTATGTTCCCTAATAAATGATCATAACTCCCTTGGTATGGTATGGTATTGTGGATGATTCAAGCAGGTAGGTAATAGATCTTCCGAAATTTGATCTTGCGCCAAATCTTCCAAACGAAATAGCAGCGCTGGATACGAAAACTGAAACTTCCCTGGGGCAGGAAACCCCCACAGACACACTATCAAATACAGATAGAATCAAATCAAATTACAATCACGTCGTGAATAATATCTCATGCGTCATAATAAAATGAACTTGGTGCAGGGGAGTTGGAGTTACTTTGACTGGAAAGCGCATATCCGCCATTACTCAAGCTAGTCTGCGCAGCAAACTCTGAATGTCGATTCCTCAAATATTGGCTGGATTGGATGTGTGGGCGTTTTGCCGTACGTGGAGGTGGTTCATCTTCATCATCGCTTATAGTCAAATCGATGACCTGACTAGCTGGTCGTTTATTATTATTTGGGGTAGGTCGAGAGGCGGATGGGACGGATGACACAGCTCGGTATTGCACAGATGGGGTACTTTGTAGAGTTGATGGTGCGGTGGTCGGTTCCTGTTTTAGAGTCACCGGGTGTGAATCTTGGATCTCGATGAGATCATCATCACCATCGTCGCTAGAGGGAGACGGGTTCCCTCCCAAGGTCGAATTTTCGTTTTCCTTTTGCATGAACCATTTCCCGTCTGGCTCGAGCGTCACTTGATCAACACCAGTTGGTGTTGATCTCAGGATATCATCCACGTATCTAATCGGTTTAGCGTCAGCGATAAATGAAAAGTTGTTGCATATTACTATAGGCTTACTGATCAATTTGTAGCGATTCAAAGCTCGTGGCCTTGTTGCAGACGGGACATGTCCACGTGGGGGCTTGTTCTTGCAATTGTAGGAATGATGTCGCATCGAAGCACTGATTATGGGCACAGATCATCGACCGGCACGGAACAGCTATTCGAAGTGTTGACAATGGACATTTTAATGACATCACAGCAGAAGTAGCGACAATGTCGGCATCTTCAGCTCTGTTTTTCACTGGCGGTATTGTCAGACATTGTCTACATATAGGTTGAAGTCCGTAGTTCAAGATTTAACTTACTTTCACGTATGACCTGCTCCGAAGATATTATTTTGCGGTTTTGCAGTTGTTTCACCAACTCCTCTACCGAATGTTTTCGAACGAGGTTTATAACCACAAAGTGTCTCTATGCACAAAAAATTAGTACAATGAGCAACAGATATCTAGGGTCGTATAATAGCCAAACCGAGCTAGTTAAATGGCTCTGGCTAACCTTCTGCGTAAGTGCGTATGTCATAACAACATGGTTAATATAACCGGGTTTCTTTCGGATGAAATTGGTGATGTCTGCAGGTCGCGTGGAGCCTGGCTTGTTTTTCAATCCGCGAAGATTTGCTTTAACGTCATCAAGGTTCGCTTTCAGCTCGACTTGATGAGGGAATGCAATGTCGCATTTAGTGTATTGAGTCAGTCCGCTATCGACTGCGCAATATACCATAATACGTAAGGATGGATCATTCTGTAGCCGGGCTACAATTGGAGGCGAGAGAACTACTTTTAAATTCACGCTATCCCGGGTATCCTGCCTAACTGCAGCGTATTTAGTGGTTTTCATATTTCTTCAGGAGTTCCGAAACATGTTGGTATGCTCACTCTTGCATTCCACCACAGGGGTTAGAGGATCTATTATCGAATAGAAGGGGCTATCCTTAAAGCTGAGTCGACCTAGAAACGGAGTAAGCATGATAGCAATTTAAGTATACAGAGAATGAAACCATACCGGTCGAGAAAGAATGGCTTGGAGTCATTGAAACAGAGAGGGACGCTGCTGTTTGCTGTGCATACGGGGATTGTGCAGGTTGATGTTGTTGATACGTTGGAGAGGATTGTGTTGGAGTTAGCGGTATCTGCAGATGGGCCGTAGCATAAACAAATCTCTTCAGCTGATTATATCTGTCTGTTTGTCCTGCTCGAAAGAGTCGTTCAAGCCCTGTGGAATAACACGACATCTAATATCAGTTCTGTTCGGCTCCTCTGGAAGATAGCGGAGACGACTAACGATCAATTATTCGGTCTTGTAAAACCACCTTAACGCCTGAAACGGGAAGATTTTCACTTCGCAAAATATCCTTCAGCTGGGCATTAAGTAGAGACTTGACAATAGCAATAACTCGTTGTAAATCGGCAGTATCCTGGCCCGTCGACGCCATTTTCCAAAAACGGTGGATTCAAGGCTGGCGACTATTGGGATCTGGAGGGTAGGGCGACAGGCTTGCTGGGAGCTTTAGCGAGAGGATACATTTGTGACTAGTATCAACAATGTGAACAGAAATGGGTATCTGAGAGTGAATATGACCTCCGCATTCCGCAGTTTGTCGTCTTTCTCAACGCCGTCTGCAGAGAGACGAAAAGCTCCAAAGTTGCAGTGACCTCACAATGCGGCTGCGGCTGCTGACATAAGCCCACTGTTAGGCTACACTCCACAACCCTCCGGGGCTTAGATTCAAAGGACTTTTTAACTGCAAATTAATCGCAATTGCTCTTCATCGCAAATAACTAACTTAACCGGGGTCTCCATTGGATTGGCCCCTTAGTCATCATTTGCGACATTTCTGCGCGACCAGGACGTCTCCTGACTCTCATTTCAGCATTCGAATCTTGAAATCTGAAATCTGACTCTATCCGGGGACTTTCGCAAAAATGGCTAAAGGTCTCCGATCCAGCGTTAAGCAGCACAATAAGGCTAAGCTACGTGCTGAAGTATTTGGACCAGTTGTTGACAGGAGGACTGAAAGACTTTCGGCAAAACTGGTAGCGCTGGCGTCCAAACCCAAGGAAGTGAATATGTATGATGCAGGTATGAGCAATGCAGTTGAGTTCGCGGTATTGTCTTTCTGAGGCTAAAATGTATGTTCTAGAAAAACTCGATATGAGCAGAGAGGCTCAAGATGACGAAAGAAAAGGTGCGCACGATCCCTTCATGTCTGACTATCGCATATTGCAATACAATGCAACCCCCTTCCACTTTTTCCGTCGTGTCTTTGGAGGAATTAGCTGCTGGTTAAATTTATTGTCCTTCTCTTCCCGAGTAGGGAAGCTGACATTTGTTTCTACAGAAATGGATATCGATGAACCCTCTGGCATGACGAAGCCATCCTCCGAACATACCCATAGAATCCAGAAAAAGGTCCGAAGGAAGACACGACCATCTATTACATTTGCTGCGCATCCATTGAAAAGAAAAAGATTATCCAAAAAGAAGTGAGGGATCATGTCATTAACTCCTGAGTTGTTATGTTGTTTCAAAATACCCGTTTTTCTCCCTGATATTTTCCGCTTGGTTTAGATTTGGCACATCGATTGGACATGCATTTGGGCGATTGCGGATTTTTGGTTGAGGTTTAGAAGTTAGAATAATGTCAAAATATTTTTGATGTGCTGGAGATGCTTGGGCCATTTAGGTCATTATAATAATTACCATTTGCTCAAAATGGCCATTCGAGGGACGAGTTTACGTCCAACTGATAAATAAACCAAGTATTTGTTAATCACCGAATTATCTTTGCTCGTAACTACCTAGATAAATTCCGTTCAATTAAATAAATATCATTTTTATCTAAATCTGTAATAATCAAGTGAACTGGCTCCCTTTCCATGACTAACTAATCATCAAATCGTTTTGTTAGTTAAACGCGATCTTGGTTTGGCTGGTGCTGATTTTAGGCCCAGCTGAACCTGAAGCTTTAACGACCTTGCAGAGTTCAAATCCTGTACTTTCTGCATCCCAGGTACAACGAAATGCAAACCAACAAGCAGGGCGATGGCGAGTCAGTGCTGTCTGAAGGAGCAAATTTCATCAGTCATTCCCAATTTCTTATATTTTGAGTAACTATACATTCGTTTCCTGGGATCATTATGGCGCCAAAATGGCCCCTGTTTCTCTCCAACTTGCTTTTCCCGCTGGCAATTCTTCTGTTTGCAAGCGGTTTCTTCCCGTATAAACCATTTATTCCGGGTCTAGCGACGTTCAGTGAAGAAAGTAATGGCATTCGATCGTCAGCACCGTTTGATAGGGTCGTATTTATGGTGGTCGATGCTCTAAGGAGGTAAATTGGCGCTGCATTTGCTGGGTGATTGACCTCTCATTGATATAACTTTACAAATAGTGACTTCGTATATTCAGAACGGTCAGGCTTTACATTTACTCAAGGGTCAGTAAAAGGATGTATATCAATTGAAATGTATTTATACACGACTTCCTGACTTTCTCTTAGGCTAATCCAGTCTGGAGCTGCATTGCCATTTACGGCCCATGCGGGTGCACCGACGGTCACAATGCCGCGGGTGAAGGCCATTACAACAGGTTCCGTACCTTCATTTTTAGACGTAATTCTTAATCTTGCAGAATCCGATACATCATCGACCCTCGTTTACCAGGATACCTGGCTTGCTCAGCTAAGAGCCCGACCGGGTGGACGTTTGGTTATGTATGGGGACGATACATGGCTGAAACTTTTCCCTGGGTTTTTTGACAGACACGATGGCACAACAAGCTTTTTTGTCTCAGTAAGTGAAATTTTTGCCTTCTATAAACCCAGAATTAAAATTTGTTTAGGATTTTGTCGAGGTGGACAGTAATGTCACTCGTCACGTTCCAGAGGAGCTCAAGATGGACGACTGGTCCGCGATGATTATGCATTACCTTGGCCTGGACCACATAGGGCATAAGTCAGGTCCGAACAGGTTAGATATTGATCATTTGGCTTTTGTCACGTTCGATTCTAATATAGACCTAGCTCCCATATGATCCCCAAACAGAAGGAAATGGACTCGGTGGTCAGGGATATATATAACGCCATCGAGAACGAGGACCATCTGTCATCTACCCTCCTCGTATTATGCGGTGATCATGGCATGAATGATGCTGGAAACCATGGTGGCGCATCTCCAGGGGAAACCTCCCCTGCTCTCGTGTTTATCAGTCCAAAGATCCGACGGATACAGAAACAAGGAATCTCACTGCAGCCACCGCTAGCCGATTTCCAGTACTACCAGTTAATCGAACAATCTGATATTGCTCCTACTCTAGCGGGATTGCTTGGGTTTCCCATTCCCCTGAACAGTTTGGGAGTTTTTATACCTCAATTTTTACCCATGTGGAAAAATAGTGAGTGAAAATGGTTCAATAACAATCCCTCGATAAAGATATACTGAACTTGAACTAGATTCAGAACGACTTGATGTTCTTTTGGAGAATGCTAGGCAAATAGGTAATGTTGTTAGCACTACATTCCCAGCCTATAAATTCAGCAACTGCTCCTATACGTCAGATATATGTACACCGACATCAGATACAGAAATTGCTTCTCTTGAATGCGATTGGCAAAATGCCTTGCGATTGGTTCACGCAGCTCGTAATGACACTAGGCATTCGAAGCCAGCTGAGGATGCCCTGCTTGCATTCTCCCGAGCGGCTCAGGATGTCATGAGCGGTGCTGCAAGTAATTATAATCTGGGAAGGCTTTATATTGGCATTTCCTTGGCCTCCCTGGTAGTTGCACTATGTGTTAATTCCTCCCTTCTCGTGATTAACGGGGCTGAGATGTTTAGTGTCTTCATTGCTGTGGCCTACGGCGTCATGATGTTCGCAAGCAGCTATGTAGAAGAGGAGCAACAATTTTGGTATTGGGTTCTCAGCGGGTGGACTTTCTATCTGTACGCCAAGCCTCACATCCAAAATGGAGACAAGAATAGCGAGAATATGGGTGCATCATCACAGGGACGCCAGATTGGGAGTGCTCTTATGTTCGCGGTCTTTTCAAGAGTTATGCGACGATGGAATCAAACAGGCCAAAAATTCACCGCTGAACCCGACATAGCGAGGACATTCTTGCCAAAGCATACGAGTATCCTCTGGATACTGATTCTTCTAACGTACACCGATATCTGCCAGAGAATGGTGCGCCGTACATCGTCGACCGAAGCCGTCTCATTTCCACGCCTTTTCTTCCCCGTCTTAACCAGCTTTGCATTCCTCTTCAAACTGGCCTTCACTTCAGCTGACTCTCCAGAAATACTTCAAGGTACAGTGCTTTTCGGTCCTCTAGTTGAGAGCATCGTTGGGGTGTCCTTAGTCGTCCAAGCCCGGACCGTGTTTGCCGGCATGGCTGTAGTATTAAGTTGCATGATTTATCGCGAGATCAAGCGGCAATGGGCTCTCAAAGCCTTCCTCTCCAAAACCCGGAACCCGTCCAATCCACGTCTTCTCAAACGCAACACCGCTCGTTCCACGGCGAGATTCCCAGTAGACTTCCACAACACAGTAAGCCTTTTCCTCGTCACCCAATCTCGACCAACCAACATCCCGTTATTCCTTGTCTTTCGGCTTCAACAGTTGGCCCTATCGTCCATGAAACTATCAGACAACGAAATAAGCATTACCTCACTGATCCTACAATACGCGTCATTTTTCGCGTTGGGAGGCTCCAACTCAATTGCGTCCATCGATCTCTCTAACGCCTACAACGGGATTAGCAATTACAATGTCTTCCTCGTCGGCATCTTGACGTTTGTAAGCAATTGGGCCGGTCCGATTTGGTGGGTTTTCGCAACTCATTCCCTATTTGTTAGTGGAGGACGTCCTTCAATACGTCGTCGCGGTCATCTGAGATTGTTGACCTTTTTCATTACGACGAGCCTGCTGGCTGTGATGGTGTCCTGTACTGTGCTGCGGACTCATCTTTTCATATGGACGGTTTTCTCTCCCAAGTTTTTGTACATTATGACGTGGAGTTTGGTACAGCATCTGGTTGTCAATTTGCTACTTGGAGAGGTAATATTGGTGTCAATTTGTTAGATAAGATTTAGATCATATGTATATCACAGGACTGCAGAAGGTAGAGGGCTTGAACATTGAATATCTACACGTATACACAGTAGGAACAAGAAGAGTAAAACGCCACTCCAACGCCGTTCTTGTCTCATTCAGAAACCCGTTCTCCGAAGAGACATATCTGAAACGAGAAAAGGAAAAAAGAAGCCATGATAAGTAGACTTAATCAGCCTACAAATCGCCAAAAATATCATCAATCGCATCCCCTTTCCTCTTTTTCCTCTTCGTCTTCGGTTTCTTCCTCTTCTGCCGCACTGCTTCTTCCTCGTGCTCACCCAACCGCACCGATGAAACCTCACAATTAGATCCCTCTTTCAAACCCTCTCCTTCCCTTCCATCAATAGCAGCCACCGGAATAATAGGACTCTTCCCTTTCCCCCTCCCTTTCTTACTATCAGACCCTGCTTTCTCTACAGAGTCTGTCGTACAAGGGACATAAACCGTTCTCTTCACCACCTCGCCAAAATCGACGCTGGCATGCTTATCGCGAGTGGCGGATACGGGATTAGTAGTTGTAGCGGGTGCGTTACTGGCTCCGGCCTCCAGGGCATGGTTGGCCGCTGGTGATTGATTCTCGCCTGCCTGCGCAACGGCCTGGGCAGCCTGTGCCAGAGTTGCGAGGAGCACGATACCCATAGAGGTAAATTGGGTGTCTGCAACGACAGTGGAAAAGGCGCTGAAGGGAGAGTTAGTATTTCTTCCTTTTTCCTGTGAAGGGGGAAGCTAAAGCTGGAAATCGGGTTCCGCAATTTTCCAAAGACATACGATAAAAGACATAAAAGCACAACGCACTGAATAACTGGACAATTGAAACCCTAAATTAAATGAGAAAAAAGAACATATGCATAAAAACAACAAAAGAAACCAAAAGCCTCTAAAAGAAGAAAAAAAAAAAAAAAAAAAAAACCTTACACATAACACCTCGGCACAATCCAAAAATGCACATATCGCATCCTCTCCAGCACTTTGGCTCGAAATCCATCATCATCATCATACTCATCGCCATACCGCTCATACCTCCTCACCAGCGCTACCAGCTCCGCCATCGACCGCTTCAGCATAGCGAGCCATTTCCACCACTTCGCGGCCCCGTGCTGGTTCTTGTTCCGGTGGTAGAGAAGGTGGAGGGATGTGTGGGTTGCAATGAGAGTACGGGAGGGCGACATAGATTGTTTTTTTCGTTTTGGGGGGGAGGAGGTTGAACGGGAGGGGGGAGGGTTCATTTTCATTTTGAAGTTCAATGTGGGTTTGGATGGAGAGAATGAGATTAGGCTTTTCTGCTCTCTTTCTCTTTTACTTTTTTGAGTGGAGGAGTGAATTTGCTTTACCATTTTAATGGACTGGGTTGGATTGTGGGATGTTATTATGGTATATTGCTCTCAATTTGAGTGGAAGGTTAGATGAGAATTATATTATACCCCAGATATATCGAGCCAAGTTCGAGGTCCAGCCATAAGCTTTTTGGCGCAAATCTTGTGTTTGAGTTTACAACGAGCCCACTGCAATTGATTGGCCCGGCAAACGCGAGCGGAACTGACATCAACAGAGGGGATTTGCCCCTGAAACCCCTCTTTGTCCTCATTTAAGACAAGTAAATATCCATGGCAGACAAAGAAGTGAGTACCTACATATACCTACATACAACTTGAGCCTAGAAAGAGTGTCAATAGTCAAATTGAATCAAGTAACATATAAGTAAAACTGATTCTTTCTTTCTTTTTGGACTATCCCCACACAATAGTTGATTAACTTAAAACACTCCATCCATCCAGCCACACAGTTATAAACATGCAATGAAGAGTTCAAAAAACAAAAAACGAAAACTAGCATTGCTCAATTAAACTTTGCTAAACTGACCTGAACATCTGATAAAAATTATGTCACAGTGTACTTACCTTGATGTCAAATCCCATTTCCATTTCCGTTTCATTTTTTTTTTTTATATATATTTATTTTCCTCCATTTTCCATTACCATTTCCATCCCCAACCAGTTCCAAACACCAGAGAAGGGAAAAGAAGAAAAATCAAAAAAAGAAAAAAAAAGAAAAAAAAACCATACTAGTACAGGCAAAAACATACACCCAGAGGGAATCTACAAAGACCCAACAACCAGCCAAACCGCGCGAGCCAAACACCATGTGTGTGCATATTGATAACTGAATTGCCACCCAAGCCGATTGTATTTGTAAGTAAAAGCAGGCAGAGTTGATAAAAAATGGAATGCCTTTTTTTTGCCCAAGGGTTCTTATTTTCGATGTGATGGGATATTTATTGGCTTTTGCCTCTGGATGTGGATGTGGCTGTGGCTGTGGCTGCGGCGGTTTTCGGATTTTCCGTTTGTTTCTCCATCCATATTTGTTGTTGTTATGGGGAGGAGCGTAAGCATTGACAAAAAACAAAAAGGAAAGAAAGAAGATTAAAAGGATTAAGAGGGGGGGGGGGGGGAAGAATTGATAATTCACAAGGGGAGGGTGAGGAGATATTAGGAGGTGGATAAAAAAGAGAAGAGGAAAAAGAAAAAGAAGTCACAGAAGCAGATTGAAAAACAAGAAAGTAAGGCAGGGTATCAGACGAAAACGACATATCAAACCAATCATTCTTTTCTTTATCCGGAGGTTGGACCAACACTATTCCTATTCACGTTGCCACAGCCAATGGTACCAACGTTGGCATTGCCGGCATTCTCATAGCAAGGCGACATCGTAATAGGTAACATATCACCATGTCCATGTCCGTGGAGACGACGGGGAGTATAAACTGGACGGGGATAGTAGAATTCACGCTCAGCGGCGATGGTGCCGCGGTCAAACTGGCTGCGGCGACGACGCTGTTCATCACGATACTGCTGTCCAACGCGAGGGGCAAAGAGGCCTAGGACATGTAAGTGGCTTTACTTAATGGGAGTGGGTATTTTTCTTCTCCTTTTTTTTCTCGTTTATTTTTTTCTTTTTTCTTTCTTGTTTTCCCTCTTGGTAAGGATGGGGTGAGGGAGGGAGACGAGAATCAAAAACGCACCAACATGTTCGGCATTTTCGACGCTACGACGCATCTTGGAAGGGTTGTCGGGACCAGGGAAACGGTCTTCGGTACCAGCCACAGGGCCAGTGCCGGTGTGGAAGATCTAGAGCAGGTTGAGAAAGGATTTGGTGATTAGGGAAGGGGAAAGGATGAGGGCATTCTGTGTGTACGTACCTTTGGACGGAAGGAAGGATGCTCAAGCATCACAGAGCTATTGCGGAACTTTTGGACGAGACAGTCCTTGCCCTGGATGGCTATGGAATATTTAGTAAACAAATCAGAATTTGCTTTTTAACAGAAAGAAATTACTTACTGGCATAGGATATCTCGGCAATTTTGTCGCTATTGAAGCAGTTCCTGTCGAGACTGTTAGCGAAACTATTCTGAATATGTTTGAATCAATCATACCAGCTATGGCCTGCACGGGCTTTGGCAAACTAGAAAACGAAGAGACTGTAAGTGCTTTGTACACATGGGGTTAGTTGGATGGAAGGCATAGAGCATACGTCGATGATGTCAATGGGCTAATCACAGAAGTTAGCGTGAATGCAAAACACAGTGACTGTATGTGTGTTGGATGGTATTCTTACATCTTCAAAGTTGATGAAGGCATAGCCAACACTATATGTGGTTGGTCAGAAGAAAAGAACAAATTATAAGGAGATGGTGTGCAACTGACTTGCAGTTGTTTGCGAAATCTGCATACAGGAGCTTGAGTCAGTGTCTGGAACGAAGCTTGGATGGAGAGACAACGGCGACTTACCGATACGCAAATACATGAAATCGTATTTCCCATGGCTGGTTTCGTCGACGATATCCTGGAGCATTGCCTAACAGGAGCGTTAGCAAGCAAGGCTTGAGTTGTAGAATAAAACAAGGCAGCGGGGCCTTGTATATGATATACCTGGTCAATCTTGTTGGGAATGTTGCGGAGCATAATCTAGCTCAAATTAGTAACAGTCAACGACGAATGCAAATCTGGAAAGGATGGATGGACTAACCGTAGTGCGAACATCAACACCGCAACGAATGCGTTCAATATCGACATAATTCTGATTGTTAGATCTCGGATCACCACCACCATGACCATGACGACCAATCTCATGACGAGAACGGATGCTATTAAAGCCATCACCAGTCTTTGTCATCCATCCCAAGGTGGATGCACGGTCATCAACGGGGACCATGGAGCGGCCGGTAGGACTAATCTCATGATAGGGACTAGGAGACGTAGAAGAGAAACGACGGCTGCTGTAGGGGCGTCTACGATAAGCCAAGTCAGAAGAGGGGTAAAGGTCCTTTGGCGACTCGAAGGAGCGCACCTGGCGCGGGGTGTGAGGAGGTGGCATGTCTGGTTTGTGATGCTTGAGTTCCAGGAAACAGTCCTGAGTAATTTTGTTAGCAAAACTAGGGTGTGGAAAAGGAAAAGAAAAAGGGAAGGAGAAAGTGTACATCAAGTGAATTCTTGTTAAGGGTGGACACGACATTATCAGCTGCGCGAGTATCGAAGAACTCAAGCAGATACTCTTCAACATTAACTTGGCGGCAGGGAAGGTTTTGGAACGCCTTGATATCGCCGAAGGTCTCTAGGAGATCTTTGAAGGAGTGAGACACAATACGCGCATCCATAGCCTGGTTGGAGCTGTCATAGGTGATAGTGGCATACACATGGCCCTCGAAGTTAGAGATAAGATAGGCATTGATGGGATCAAACTTTTGGGCATACTCCTGTGCGGTCATGGAGCTGACGCGCCATTCCGGGTGGAGACGGGAAACTTTGGTAGATGCC